TCTTCATAATAAAATTTTTCTTTATAATTTACAGTATTTGTGATTCCTTTTTGAGACAGAAGAGCTGCTACAGAACTAGTGTTCTGATCATAGTCATCTCATAATAGTCAGTGTATAGATTTTGCTTTCATAACTTCATCATGTTGCAGTGAATCTAAAGATCCGGTTTGATGCCTCACAGCTCTGCTTCTCCATCTACTGGTGGTCTGATGGAGGAATCTGAGAGTAATCACAAATACTGTAAATTATAAAGAAAAGACTAGAAGTATAAAGACTTTAAAACATCACTGAATATAAAAATCTTCTCCTTCTTCTTCCTTTTATAGAGGACATGAAAGAAAACTAAAGTATGTACGTTTATCTAAAAAACAGAGAATTCTATTTTTGCAAAACAGATAAAGCTGTAATAATAATATCAACAATACTATAATAATAACAATACTTGATCTCAGGCCAGCTGCTGTTTTGTAGGACCTCCAGTCAGATCCTTTTGATCTTTAAAGGGGGAGCAAAACTTGCTTCTCATAACCAAACTGTCAAATACGACCCATGAACCCGCTGGATTGGACTCCACACCACGTACCCACCAAACCGCGTCCCGTACGCTCAAGGACACAGGCACAAATCCAACGCCTCAAGGTTACGAGTGTATTGTTTACATTTTCCTCCACTGTTGTGGCTTTTGCATTACCCTGACCTGGCTTGTAACCAGCTCAGACTGCATATAAAGAGGAAGCCCAGATTGCTGAAGCAGTTCTCATCACTCGGTTCCAAACGTTGGGTTTCTGCAGTTGCACTTGTTTTATGCAAACCAGCCTTTTTATGGATCTGATCTCTGCCTGTGAACGGACGATGACTCCTGTAGGCTTGGACACCATAGTGGCAGACCTGGTCTCCATGTCCCCGAACGTCACCGCAGTGGGATCGCCGGGCATCTCGGTGGCAACCAGAACCTTAATCCTACTTGTCTGTCTGCTGCTGGTTGCATGGAAGCACACAGACAAGAAAGCTGCACCGGGTAGGTTCGATGGTTTTGACACTATTTTCTTTGTGCTGGTGTCAATTCTGTTACTGTTGTAAACTCATCACTGAATTTCATATAAGCTGAAAACTGCACTTATTGTCATTTATAGGTCCTTGTTTCTGTCTGGGCTTGGGCCCACTTCTGTCATATGTGAGATTCATCTGGACTGGTATAGGCACAGCCAGCAACTACTACAACAACAAGTACGGAGACATTGTCAGAGTCTGGATCGACGGAGAGGAGACCCTCATAATCAGCAGGTTGGTTTTAGCTCCGTTAATGCTGATATATAAAGTTACCTCACGATCAATCTGAGTGTAAACTGACAATCTGTTTCTGTTTTTTTTAATTTTTGTAGGTCATCAGCGGTGCACCATGTACTGAAGAATGGACATTATACTTCACGTTTTGGAAGCAAGCAAGGACTCAGCTGCATCGGCATGAACGAGAGAGGCATCATATTTAACAACAACGTAACTCTGTGGAAAAAGATACGCACCTACTACACCAAAGGTATCATTCTAACCTTTAATCAGCCCTGCAGACTAACTGATTGGTACAGTGATTCCAGATACAAAAATATTTGATTTGACCTCAATCACAAAATCTTTGATTATCCGTATCAGCCCTGACAGGTCCGGGCTTGCAGCAGACAGTGGAGGTTAGCGTCTCCTCCACGCAGACTCACCTGGACGACCTGGACAGTTTGGGTCATGTGGATGTTCTCAGTTTGCTGCGCTGCACCGTGGTCGACATTTCCAACAGACTCTTTCTGGGTGTCCCTGTCAACGGTCAGTAGGCATTCATTCATCTCCTGATTCATGTTATCATGCAAGTTGACAAAATTCAGAAATGTCACGACCTGGGTCAGCTATATTGAGTGTTTTTGATTCCTTTGTGTCTAGAAAAAGAGCTGCTGCTGAAGATTCAGAAATATTTTGACACGTGGCAGACTGTGCTAATCAAACCAGACGTTTACTTCAAATTTGACTGGATTCACCAAAGGCACAAGGCAGCAGCGTGAGTCACTCTGTCCCTCTGTGATTCATATGAGCGCGCTTCTTTGTTTGACTTGATTTTTCATTATGTTATACGTCTGTCGTTTCACAGCCAGGAGCTGCAAGACGCCATAGAGAGCCTCGTGGAGCAGAAGAGGAGAGATCTGGAGCAGGCGGATAAACTAGACAACATCAACTTCACCGCAGAGCTCATATTTGCACAGGTCAGTCTGAAAAATTAGTTCGTTGCCATTTAGTGTTTTTTTTATTTAAAAAGAAAAGTCTACCCTCCTTTTGTCCTCTTTCAAACATTCAGCACTTCCACCAACCTATATGTCAGAAGTCCTCCAATGGTGAAGTGATTGGGGTAAAGTATTGACATTTTCTTGTGTGTTTTCAGAACCATGGCGAACTGTCTGCGGAGAACGTGAAGCAGTGTGTGTTGGAGATGGTGATCGCAGCACCAGACACTCTGTCCATCAGCCTCTTCTTCATGCTGCTGCTCCTCAAACAGAATCCAGATGTGGAGTTTAGGCTGCTCCATGAGATAGACACTGTTGTAGGTAAGGAGCTGGGAGACTGGTTAAATATTGTCGGGATTGGGAGCCGTCTGCCAGTGCTATAGATGTGGTAAGCGTTTAAGCGTGACGACATCTCACTTACGTTGTTTTGCCGCAGGTGAGAGACCGCTCCAGAACGGGGACCTTCAGAGGCTACAGGTGCTGGAGAGCTTCATCAACGAAGGCTTGCGCTTCCACCCTGTGGTGGACTTCACCATGCGTCGAGCCCTGGCTGACGACGTCATAGATGGCTACAGGGTACCGAAGGGCACAAACATCATCCTGAACACTGGCCGTATGCACAGGACAGAGTTTTTCGTCAAACCCAATGAATTCAGTCTGGAAAACTTTGAGAGAAATGTAAGTAGATGTATATTTTTTTAGGGGCAAATTGAGGTTTTATCTGCAACTCTGGGAGTCAAAACAGTCAGATAAGATAACATGAATAAATAAATCAACTCTTAAAGACCCTGAAAGCCTGTTTTCTCATTCAGCTTATCATTATGAGCAATGGATCCTCGGCGTATCCAAAGGGTGTTCTCTTCTTTAGGTCATAAATATGTATGTTATTGACATATACTTTGATTTTAAACCAAGTGTTCAGGTGTTTCAACTACCTCGCTCATCTGTCCTCCCTCAGGCTCCCCGCCGGTACTTCCAGCCGTTCGGTTCGGGCCCTCGCGCCTGCGTTGGCAAGCACATTGCCATGGTAATGATGAAATCCATCCTGGTGACGCTGCTCTCCCAGTACTCTGTTTGCCCCCATGAGGGCTTGACCCTAGACTGCCTCCCACAGACCAACAACCTCTCCCAGCAGCCTGTTGAGCATCAGCAGGAGGCCGAACATCTCAGCATGAGATTCTTACCCAGACAGAGAGGAAGCTGGAAAACACTCTGAGACTCTGACCTTTAGTTGTACCCACACATTTAAATCTCCATAACAATTATATTATGACTGTACAGAGCTATGCTATATATTTGGTATATATATATGGTAAGTATTACAAATTGTATTTCTACTTGAACTTTTATGTATGTTGTGATCTGTAAGTTTAGACATGCTAATACTGAAGTAAATGTAAATTATTGTGCCAATATTATGTGATATTGTCTTCTTTTTTTATGTGATTATATATATGCACAATATAAATCCTACACGCTGTACATATAGTATACAGACATCTTTACATGCACATACTGCAAATAATCATCCAGTCCATGTATACCATGTTAAGTATTCATTTATCTTTTTTGCACTGTACAGAACACTTGACTTGTATTTAGATGTTTTATGTTTTATTCTATTGTTGGTCATTGATGCTCTTTATATAAAGGCCTATTTATGTAATATGCATGTGAACACTTATTATTTTCTTCACTACTTGTGTACATAACAGTCCTGTCTTTTCTTTGTCTTTCTTTGTTTATCTTTGTTGTCCTTGTTCTTGGCTGTTATTCTATTTCTGTGTAAGTACATTAAAAGAGATGAAAAACACAAAGCCAAATTCCCTGTACGGGCACGCATACTTGGCAAATAAATTTGATTCTGATTCTGAAAAGAGAATTTCTAAAATTGTGTACATTATTAAAAGTAAACTCCATCCATCGCTTTCATTTTCTTTTAGTATTTGCACATATTTATCAGGAGAGGGCGCTACAAGACACAACACGACGATCTAAATGCGCCCCAGTCTAAAAACAGCAACCGATGTATTCATTATGTTCAATTGCTCTGCCTCTGGGCAAACGTGGCAATACGTTTCACAGACAGATGTTTCAATTTGTATTGGTTCCACTCTCTGAACACCAGCAACACCCACACATGCAAACATGTTAGTTTGATTGTGTGAAGAGAAATAGAGATGGAGGTTCTTCAAGAAGAAATAGGAGAAAATATACATGTAGATAAGTTTATTCAACTGTTCCTCCAGAGATGTCAACCAACAGCTGTCAGTGATGCAAGAGAGTGAAACATCTCCTGGGAGCTGCGTGTGCTGATTACAGTGAGATGAGGAGAATATGTCAGAAAAACGCACCCACACACACACCCACACACACACATAAGTGCTTGGTATGCTAACCTACATCTGCAGCAGAGTAACACACCATTTCATCCACTCATTAAAGTGTACCTGCTGTATGTGTGTGAACTGTAAGCGAATGTGTTTGTGTGTGTGTGTGTGTGTGTGTGTGTGTGTGTGTGTGTGTGTGTGTATGTGTGTGTGTGTCACAGGCTGTTCCTTGCAGGTGTCCTGGGAATCACTATATGTTCTCATTAACCTTAGTCTCATTCCATCAGGATGCAAATCATCTCATGTACACGGCTCTGACTGTTAGATGCATCTTGTAAATTTACCAGGAAAAACAATCATCTTCAGAATGATCTTCTGTTAAGCTTGATACGATTGAGAACCAAACAACTGGTGGTCCAAGTTATAAATTCATAGAAGCACCATGTATCCGTTTAAGTTTGAAAGTGACACTTCCAACAACATCTGTCATATTTGTTAACACTAGTGTACAGTAGTTTCAGGGTGAAAAGATGCCTTAATTATCACTTCCTCATGTATCGGCCTAATACTGTCGATTTCAATCACCATCAATCTATCTATCTATCTATCTCTCTATCTATCTATCTATCTATCTATCTATCTATCTATCTATCTATCT